TGAGTGTGGGAAAGCCTTCAGTCAGCGTTCCACTTTTAATCACCACCAGCGAACTCACACTGGAGAGAAGCACTCAGGACTGGCTCAGTCAGTTTCGTAAGGCATAAGTTCCCTAGACAGAGCAAGGAACTGTGAATTAAGGTTTCTTTATAAGAAATATGCTCAACCTGTTCTCTTGAAACCAGTAATCAAAGTGGGCCTTTCCCTAAATGTTGTCTGCTTGGTCATGGAGGTGGGAGAGGGAGTAACAGTGCAGCCCTTCCCACTACTGAGGAAGGAAGGACTGCACCTTTCATGTACTTGTAGGGTTTCTGTTTCCTGCCTCCCTCCCTACCTTCCTCCCTCCCTCCTTTCTTTTCTCTTCCCTTCCTTAGCTTGCTCGCTTGCTCTCTCTCTCTCTCTCTCTCTCTCTCTCTCTCTCTCTCTGTCTCTGTCTTCCTCCCTCCCCTTCCCTCTCTCTCTCTCTCTCCCTCCCTCCCTCCCTCCCATTTAAAAATATATTTTATTACTTAGTTCTGCATCCTAATCAGACTGTGGTTTTCAAGGACAGATTATATCTTCCTTATTCTGTTTGACCTCCTCTATTTCACTATTTACATAAAGACGTTCTCTAAGACTCTTTTTTCTTTCTCTTGGCTGTGGCCTGCTTACTTTTTAATCTACTCTGATCTAGACTCATCATTTGTGTTCCTTACCCAGAAAACCTTTTCTTTCTGTTTGCTAATCTGTGTCCTTCAGAACCTTCCAGATCCATCTCATCTCTGGAAGATTGTCTTTAAATGCTTCTTCATTCTTCTTAAACTTCTATTCATGTGACCTCAGTGCTTTGAGTTAGCTGGTGCTACAATGTACAACTGTTGCTAAATTGCCTTGTAAATTATTCTCAACTTAATGCATATGTGTTTACATTCATCCCAACTTATTGTAGGTTCTTCTAGGTTGGGTGTGGTATCTATTTCTTTTAGCATATAGATAATAATTTTCATATAGTAGTTGTTAATAAATAATTTTTTAAAAACAATTTTCCTATTGACTCTTTTTTAAATTGGGTATAGTCTCCATCTCCTCTCCCCAGCCAGACCAGAATATGAAAGTGGCATTTCATCATAGGATATGACATACAAATACCTCATTGATACCTTCTGCATGTATTTCTGGAAGTCTCACTACTGTTACTTCATTGTTGGTTTCTGATGTATGTTCTATTGTATGTATGAAGTTTCCTTCTATTCCTGTTTTTTGAAGAAGCAATATGGTATCATAGTTAAGGATACAGATTTTGTGCCTAGACCTCTAGATTCCATCCTGACTCCACACCTTAGGTGTGTGATCCTGGACAAGTCACTTTGCTTCCATGTGTCACAGTTCTTCCATCTGTAATACAGAGCTGCCTTACAGGGTTGTTAGGATAATATTAATTCATTTGTGTAAGGCACTTCAAACAGTGCTTGGCACATAGTACACTAGCAATTATACTTAGAATTTTTATTAGGATGGTTGCTAAATTCTATCAAGTTTTAAAAGTAATTTATTGGTGTAATTTTATGGGTCATGTCATTTTTGTGTGTGTGTGACAACTTTTCAAATAATTGAAATCTCTTTGCATACCTAGTATAAATCCATTTGTTTGTGATGATTTTTTTTTTTTTTTTTTTGCAGAGCCATCCTGCCACCTATTGGCAGCTTAGTAGTGGCTCAGCTCGGGCCGGGACTCGAACCGCTGTTGCTCAGAGCTCAAACTCTTGAGCGAGCTCTTAGCCAATTGAGCCACTCAGCCGGCCCTGTGATGAATTTTTTGAAGTACAGAACTGGATTGAATTTACTAAGGTTTTGCAGGCTTTGCAAAATGTATTTGGAAAATTTTTCTTGTATTACTCTGGAAGAGTTCGCATAATATGGGCATTATTTTTTGAAGGGTAACAGTAACTGGGCCTGATGCATTCTTGGGGAGGAGGGTATTGGGATGGGCAAATCTTTAGCAAAAATTTTAATTAATGGTTGTATTTTGAGGTTTCTCCCTCTGTGCAGATTTTGGTGATCTATGCCTGGAAATCATTTTTACTGGGCCCTCAGCCACATAAAGTTTTACCTATTCTATAAAATTAATATACTTTCTTCTGTGTATATAGTTAGAGCTCCATTTTCATATATAATGTTTCACATTTTGGCTTTTCTTACAATTTTTCTGTCATAATTGCCACATTTAGTTTGTTTTGTTTCTCTTTGGAACTCCAGTTTTTGTTGAATATATTTTTTTCATGTTTTCTGTTTTATTTTGTTTTGTTTGTTTTTTTGTTTTGTTTTTTTTACTGCATCAGGTTACAGAGCTTTTTTTATTCATCCCATATTTCATTTGTTTTTTCTCCCATTAGTCACTTATGAGATCTTTCCAGTCCTGATATTTGCCACAAAATAGGGAAAGTGGGTTTTTTTCTTGAATCCTTTTAGAGTCCAATTGGATGCTGTTAAAATTGTCGGTTTGGCTCTGAATCTAGAAGGTTAGTTGTAAATTTACTGATATGTACTTCAGCAATAAAGAAGTAAAGGGTAAGCTCAGCGTTTTGCTAATCTGGTTGAAAACCTTCCACCTAGAGCCAGCTTTTTGTATCTAGCTTTCTTTTTGCCTCTGCCTTCATACTGTGGATCCAGTAGAGCCTCCGTCCATGTTCTCCGTCAATTCCAAGTAACTGTGTTGTAAAAGAACTGAATGTGGAAAAGCCTTTAGTTGCAACCCATACTTTATTTTATCTCAGTGACTCAAAATTGGGAAGAGATACTATTCTTGAGGTAAGTGTGAGAAACATTCCCTTGTAGAAAAATCATCCACCAGTGACTACGCTTACAAGAAATCCTACTCGTGAGCGGGAACGCCTTGGTTATACTGTAGTTTATTTTTTGTTTGACATCAGAAAATCCACATGGGTTAAAGCCTTTTGTTTTTTGGCAGGCAAATCCTTCATGCAGAACTATTATTTTACGCAAATTTCTGAAAAATATTCCTGAAATAAGTGCAAATCTTTTCGTTTTAGCACATAGTTTCTGCTCCATCCATGAATCCGTAATGCAGAAAAAGTATCAGTAAACAGTATGACAGAACCCCCAGTTTATTTTTTAAAGTCAGAATTTATACCCAGGGAGGTGGGTATGACCCAGGTTAACAGATATGATGGTAAAGGTGCTAGGAGCTGAACACTTACCTCTTGTCGCTCAGACACAAAGAAGATTCCACAGCAATACTCTGCATCCCCAACCCTAGTCTTTCAGCTTTTAAATCCAGTAAGAAAGGTCAGGAGATTTTGGGTGCTAACAAGTTGTTGAGTACCATCCCATGTGCGAGACATTTCTGTCTTGGAGTGCTAGAAAGGATACATTCATGAAAACCTGTAATTGTTAGAAATAAATTGAATACCCACAGGGTGGCTTTTGCTCTATAGAAAAAAAACAAATCCTCTATGGGGCAGCTGGTTAGCTCATCTGGTTAGAGTGCAGTGCTTACAACACCAGGGTTGCCGGTTTGATCCCCACCATGGGTTGCTGAGCTGCGCCCTCCACAACTAGATTGAAACAACTACTCGACTTGGAGCTGATGGGTTATGGAAAAACACACTGTTCCCTCCCCCCACCCCACCCAAAAAAATCCTCTACTCCTGACATTAGAACATGTTCTAGCCTTATGGGGCCTTTGTAAAACACTTGCCCCAGCTCGATAAAGGGAAGGTGTTAGGATGTCAGCTGGTCCCAAGCACCTAACGGTGCAAGTATTTGACCAAGAACAGGACATTGTAGATTTATTCCTCACTTAACCATAACAGTCGTCCCACTAATATTGTATATATGCACAGGGCCAAGGGCCTTGTACTTGACCCAAGTGGATGCTAAGTAGGATGGGTGCGGATTTCCCTGTAAGGCATGTGAATGCTTTACAGGAAAAGACAGAAGGGGAGATGTGTATGATGCCCCACACCCCTTTTCTTACCTGTGGGTGCGCCTCAAGTGATGCTTGGTTAGGAATTCCCGGCTGACTAAAAACGATGCTTTTCCACCTAAGGTGGGCCAGTCCACAGATTTAAAAGTTTCTAGGAATGAATATACAGGTGGTATTTTATGATGATACTAACAGGTTTCCCCCAAAAGTCTCTTAAAATTGCATTGTCTTGGATGCGGATGATGCACTTAGAAGATATTCAGTTACCCCGCTAGGTGCTATATGGATTGTGGATGGACATGTACAGAGCCAACAGTCACCC